ATTATATAGATTACTATTCCAGCGGGTATTATCGAGCGAGTACTATTTCGCGGGTGATATTCGAAGAATTCTGACACCAGTATTGTTCAACGGCGTTACTATAGTTGTATCTGCGATTACAATGTCTCTACTACAACGAGCATTACAAAAGTTTCAAACGAGTATTCGTTGACATCACAAAAAGAAGAAACAGTTGCATTCAATACATGGACGAATGGTAGTTTTATAAAGGTGTAAGAACAATTCTATCGACAAATATTATTACAAAGAAACAGTGAACCAATGCAGCTGGACTTTTCCTAGATTCTGGACACTGGTTTTTGAACATAGATCGCCAGTGATCAAACACCGGCGATCCCATTACTGAATTAAATAGCTCACGTGACCATAGCGGAAATGTATATATGGGAATTAGCGTGACATCTAATTGATCGCCATTTCTATTCTATCCTCTATTACTATACGAATCATGCTTTCTAGTCTATCGTCTATTACTATACGGATCGCTGTTTTCTATACTATTCACTATATTATTTCTCTATACTAATCACTATACTAATTACTATTCGGTGGTTACTTTTCGAGCGAGTATTATCGAGCATGTACTATTAGTGCGAGTGTTATTTGAAGGCCTCTGACACCAGTATTGTTTAACAGCGTTATTGTACAGTGGCTTGCAAAAGTCTACACCCACTCTGAAAATTTATATATTTTCTATAATTCTACAGGGAACAACACATTTTTTCAATTCCAATGATTGTTAAACAATAAGAAGATCGATCACATTTTGATATAAAAATTACATTTTAAAATTTTCACACTGATTCTTATAACATAAAAAAATGTCTTTGCAAAAGTCTACACCCCCCAGATATTATACGGTCTCATCACGTAGTTTATCATTGATGTATACAATGCAATACAATCAAAAGTGACATGTGTGTTCTGCCATAACAAACTTGGCCAGTCTATTATTTTGCTATATAAGGTGATTTAACTGCCTACAAATCTGATACCAATATTGTTCACTAGCATTACTATAGTTGTATCTGTGATTACAAAGTCTCTACTACAACGAGCATTACGAAAGTGACAACGAATATCCGTTGACATCACAAAAGCGCACCTGTTTGATTTTAGTGTCCCCGACCTGTGAATCGCATTTCGGGCTTATGGCCATGCATGCATTCTCTCTTCTTGTACTTTATGCCCCTCTGTAATAGGTTATCATATTACGACATGTTTAATAAAGCGTACCAATCAGTCATTTTTTAAAATAATTTTTCTTTTCATTTTTCTTTTCTGTTGTCACACTTTGATAATATTAAATGTTCTGTTAGATTCCAATACCAATACTGTATGGGTTATAAAATAAAAATAACATTTGCGCGGCCCTGATGTAAGTTAGCAATTTCTCCCCTGTACCGTTGATTTGATTTCTGTGGCAGGGAATGCTGGACAATCTCCTCACAGTTAAAGATACGACTTGACGCAACAGAAATGTGGCTCTACAGAAGGCTACTGAGAATACCATGAACGAAGCTTGCATGCAACGAATAATTTATAGAGACAATGTTAACAAAAAGTACCCTTATGCAAAACATCAGTGAAAGCTGAAATTTCTGGGGCACATAATGAGAAAAGACGATCTGGAAAGGGCATTTTGAAGGTAAGAGGGCTAAATTAAAATAAAGCACAACCTACCTGTGGAGAATGAGAAAATGAATGGTGCAGAAGGGTCTAAGATGACAAAAAGTCAAAATGAAAGGACAGGACGCTCCAGAGAGTCGTGATCTCCAATGTGCTGAAAGAAGAAGATGAATTTACCTGCTTCCCTCTTTTTCTTTATTTCCTTTATTTTATTTTATTTTTATTTTTCTTTCTGTTCTCTTAAATTTTCTTGGTTTGGTTTGTTTTACGGCATACCAACCTCAAATAGGTTATTTAATACCGACAAGATTTTTATTGCTAGTAATATCTTTTTCCAAATATGTATTACCGGTTATAATTATATATAACAAGGATAGTTGATGTTCCCATGTACCACATATTTTGAGATTTCGGTTTCATTATTATTATTATTATTATGAAACAAAATGATTGACGTAACGCTTCCAATATTTCATAACATTTAAGAAAAGAAAAACAAAAGATACAGTAGTGTTTAACAATATTTCGACAGCACGTCTGTCTTCCTCATGTTTTACTTAAGTTTGGTTTGGTTTGTCTTGTTTTACGCCAACCTCAAATGACGTATTTAATGCCGACAAGATTTTTATTGCCAGCAATATTTATTTTTCCAAATATGTATTACTAGTTATAATTTTCCCCAAAAAATTATTACTGATATTAAAACCTATTTTCATACTTTCATAGTCTTTTGACCCCAGTTTGGGGGTTAACTATTTGCCCGTAGATGGGATCCTAACAGGTGCTACCACCCCAGGTCAGGGTGGACCTGGGAACATCAGCAATTAAGAGGTGGTTCCACGCTCCTCAAAACCTCCTGATTAAAGACTTTGCTGTTGAATGCATTTCATCGTCATAACCAGGACTAAATACATCAGGTTGTACTGAGTTACATGGTACCATTATCAGAGACTACAACCCTTGTCCTGAGCCTCTAACGGTTTCGTTTTACCTGAAACCTTGTTTGAGACACAATCATCCAAGACTAGTAATACAAGCTGACGCCATTTTTAATCACACACCAATGTTACCAACTGGCTTCTTGCACACCGACTCTGGATTCATTTCAACTGTCCCCAGTGCCCAAGAAAGCTGTATATTTCCAATACGCTGGCATTACCAATTATTGTAAGTTAACCACGCACCAGTTAGAAACGATTTTTCTTTGACTCTTGAGAAATATATTAAACGTTATGAACAATCCCAGATCACTGAGCTTTACGGCCATATAGCGTTGAAATATCAGTTCCCGTACGGTCACAGAATTTAAGCCAAGTCAGGTCTGGTCCGTACCTAGCTGGTGACCGCTTCGTAATAAAGGATGTGCGGGTGGTGTAATGAATAAAGGCTCGGAATTGTTAATCGGAGAGCCGAGTTCCAATTCAAGTCGGAGTCGTTGTGTTCACCTACGCGCAAATACTCTTCGGAAAAGAATGAATCCACTTCATCCCCCACAACTATGGTAAGATTTGTATCACTAAATCATTATTATATCCATACCCCCAAAAAATTCTTCATTCTAAAAATATTTTCTGGCTCTAAACAACCTGCAAACGGTTGATAACCCGTAAAAAAGGACTCAATAGAATCAGAACAGATCACTAAAACTCTCATTTGTTTATATTGCAAAAATTTACAAACTCATATGACGCCGTGACAAAGTTCAAATGAATGTCAATTTTGGCGGGTACGTTTCCGACAACGGAGGTTACGGCTTTAATTAATTGTGGGACGATGTTATTAAACCACCTGATACATTCCAGAAACTTCTTGCACTTAGAAATTGATATTATGTTGACGGTTTAGAGTTGACAAAACAAAGAAAAAAAACATTTGTCTACTTCCTAAAATAAGACCAACAGCTGCCCAAACTTCCCTCTCCAGCTTTAATAGAATTTAAAAGCGTCCCCTAGCACTTGGGGGGTGACGAATTATTCTCCACCCCCTTCAACCTCTCTATCGCTACTTCTAGGGAAAGTGTTCGGACAAACTACACTCCCTAGTCCCGTCTATACAAATCTTCACGGCAAGAACACGCCATGCCACTTACATAATAGCAAACCCGCCACATTTCCTCTGTATTCCTTCAGTGAAAAGTTCCACTCGAACATCTTCTTCCAGCAAGCCACTGATATGTAGAACCCGACTCCCAAGAGGATGTTTCCCCGATCACTACAATCATCTCTTCAAGTCTAGGCTTAACTGTTATCTTTCCCTTCAATCGACACACATTTGCAACTAAGTTAGCCCATTACCTCGATTGCCATCCACCGGTTGTTGTAGAGGGGGAACATTACTTTAAAAAGGACAGCATGTTCTACAAAAAACTGCATACCGCTTTATATTTCAGTCAAATATTTGCTATTCATAAAGCAAAAAAAAAAAAATTGCATAATTTTCCGAAAACTATTCCTATTTTTTCAAATTCACCGTAAAAAATACACTGATTTTGAAAATTTAAAAATCTGCAAGGAATAGCGATGAATAAAATATTAAGTTGTCTTGATTATTGCGCACGCAATATAGTTCTCTTACGCAGTAATTGAGACAAGTAAGGTCAATAAACAAGGCCGTTAACTACGTTCTCTTCCGCACTTAGCTTTCTGCAGCGAATATATGCAAACAATGCCACTAATGGCTGCCGTCAACGACGCGAATGAATCCGAAATTTTACAGTCGATAACTCTAAAACGGTAAAATTTATCAAGCCAGATTCGAATGAAGGATGTATGATTACACCTAAATAAAAGTATTCTGGAAATTTTTAATGCGAACTGAGCGTGGATGCTAAACTGCAAATTAGCCTTTACCTTTTCAAATATTTACATTATTCAGACTATTGTCCTCATCTCTGTCGCCATATTGATTACGATGTTTCGGCTGTTGTACGCTCCGGCCTTCTTCAGGAGGTTGGAATGTCGAACTGAACACTTTATTTCGCTCACTGGGGTAGACTGCTCTAGTTCCATGTGCCATGTTTAATGGATGTCAGTTATCAGTTATCTCCTGTTAATTTCCCTCTGAAAGTTCTCCACTGCCTTAACCGGGTATTGAACTCACACTCTTTGGCCCCTGTCACAGTTCTTTATGAAATACTTTGAAGTAAGCCGACAATGTATCGGCCTATCTTGCCAAACAGAGTTCGGATGAACGCAGACAGAAACATAACAAAAAAAGAAAACCTGAAAAAGAAAAGAAATGTAGACAAGAAAATTAAATCAGTCACATGACCGTTTAAAAATCGTCAGATATTTTTGTCCGTTCTCAACTTGTCTGACACTGAATGGATTTTTCAAGGATTATTTTCTGCTATGTTCATCGCCACTGATCTCGGGTAAGATTATCGGGAAAAATCCCTCGGAAACTACTGCAGCCAAATACTGACTGCCACTGTCTGAAATTGAGCAAAAAAGAAAATGGTTGCTGCTGGCAATTGACTTCCAGTCGACGCTATAGGCTATAACAATCTATCGACTTTCAGCGATAACAGACGACAAGTTTCTGTGCCTCATTCTTTGCCCATTTCTTCATCGCTTTTCCGCTAATCACCAGCCAGTTTTCCTCCGAGATTCATTTTCCTTATCATTTCTTCTTCTTCTTCTTCTTCTTCTTCTTCTTCTTCTTCTTCTTCTTCTATTTCGTCTTTTTCTCTTTCTCGTCCTCCTCGTCATCCTCCTTCTCCTTCTTCTTCTTCTTCTTTTACATACTCCTCCTCCTTCTTCATCTTCTCCTCCGCCTTCTTCGCCTTCATCATCTTTTTGTTTATCATTATTTCCCCTCTTTCCTTTCCTCTTCATCATACTTGCTGTCTAATGTTTCTATGTTATTATCTTACTTTTACATTCATCCTCGTTTTCTTCATATTGTTGTTGTTTTTTTTTTTTCTTTTCTTCTTCTTCTTCTTCTTCTTCTTCTTCTTCTTCTTCTTCTTCTCATCTTTCTTCTTCTTCTGATTATTAATATTATTAGTAGTATTGGTATTATTATTGAAAATGTTCTAAAGCTAAAAATGAATTATCGTATCTGAGAATATATGCGACGCGATTTCCCCCCAAAGGAACACTAATAACATTGCCCTGTGTCTGACACAGTAATCCCATGACCCTTGTATCTTCAATTTGCATTAACAAGGACTATAATTTTACTTCAGATAGTCAATTCCACCCAAACCAACTGACGCTGAACGAATAATATTTCTGCAAACGAATTTATACTTTTTCTCCTGTTCCTCATTATTATTATTATTATTATTATTATTATTATTATTATTCCTCTTCTTCTTCTTCTTCTTCTTCTTCTTCTTCTTCTTCTTCTTCTTCTTCTTCCTCCATATTTATAAGCTTTTATCTTCTTCTTTCATCTTGTTTTAATTTAATCCATTATTTCTTTTTTCGATTTCTTTCATTTTCTTCTTTCATTTTCCTCCATTATTTCCACTTTTTAACATTCCATTTATCGGTTTCTTTTATTTTCATTTCATTCGTTTATTTTCTTACCTTTCACTTCCTCTTCCACCTCGTCTTTCATTTAGTAATGTGTTTCCTCATTTTCACAACTACCATTTCTTTCTTCTTCTTCTTCTTCTTCTTTTTCTTTCTTCTTCTTCTTCTTCTTCTTCTTCTTCTTCTTTCATACTTCCCGAGTACATATTTCACCCTTCCCTTTTTATCCTCGTTCTCATTCTACAGAGTGGTCCGAAAATCTTGTCACCCTTAAATAATTTTCCATTTCAGGTGGCTGCCACGAGCTCCTACAGGTTGGGGATGACAAGACTATCGGACCACTCTATACATTTGAAAATGTTATTTTTCTTGTACTTCTATTTCATCATTTCTTTTTTCCCATATTATTTAGTGCCTATTCTTTCCCCCCTCTCTTTTCAGCATCAATCATCTTCATCATCGGCATCATTATTATCGAAAAAAGTTCCCTATAAAATCTTTTCTTCGTACATTAATTGCCGAGTACCCCCAGTTTTATTTACATTATTCGAACTGCTGTCCTCATGTTTGTCGCCATATTTAACGCAACGTTTCGGCCGTTGTACGCTCCGGCTTTCTTCAGGTGGTTGGAATCTCGAACTAAACCCATTATTTCGCTTGCTGGGGTAGACTGTTCTAGTTCACACGTATCGGTCAGTAGACAATCTCTGTTTTGGTGATGTTTGATAATTATATCTGGACTATTGACTTTGATTGTGCCTCTTTGTCCAAAAAGGCTTCTAATGCCTACTCCAACTCTGCCTAAACTCCGATATTTTAATTATTACTTATTTATTTATTGATTTCTCTCCTCCTAACAGGAGTAGATAGGTTCGCCATTCGTCCAGTTCACAATTCTCTCCCGTTTTTTTTAATAGGGCAGAAGTTTATCTCTTGTTTCCTGCTTAGGAATGTGTATCCAGTTCCTTCAACGCTGTTATTTTGACATCTAAAATTGTATTCAGTAATTATTCTTTTGTTTTCTCTCCCAATAGAAGAAGATCCGGGTCAAAATCCTCCCTGGTTTTTTGAACAGGAGTAGAGGTTTATCCCTTGTTTGATGTTTAGGATTGGATTTCCAGTTCCTTCAAATTAGTAATACTCACGTCTCTGCCTGAAATCTGAAATTTTAATCAGTAATTATTATTTTGTTTCCTCTCACAATAGTAGTAGATAGGTTTGCCAAACATCCGGGTCAAAATCCTCCGCGGTCTTTAGAACAGGAGTAGAGGTTTATCCCTTGTTTGATGTTTAGGATTAGTTTTCCAGTTCCTTCAGTTCTGTACTTCTGATGTCTCTGCCTGAAATCCGAAATTTTATTCAGTAATTATTATTTTTTTCCTCTCCCAATAAGAGTAGATAGATTTGCCTATCGTCCGGTTAACACAGCTCCCCGGTCTTTTGAACAGGAGTAGAGGTTTATCCCTTCTTTCATATTTAGGATTGGTTTTCCCATTTTTTTCTAAAGTCTGGTCATTCGCTTCTGTTATCCCCAATCCAAACAATCTTGACCTCTTCAAGTCCAGAGTTAGCCGTTATCATTCCCGTATATTCCCAAGAAGTTCACTTCTTGACCTGTCTTACGACTATATAACACAACACAGTCACCATCTACCATGAGTGATCTTGAGCTTTGTATTCGGCGAACCATAGCTTAAAAGATCTTCAATATTTGCATCGTAATCATGTTTAGGACTATTCTCTAACATACCTGTATAGCTTTTCATTTTCTGTCGAAGGAGATTGAAAATAGTTACAAGTATCTGAATTTGGCAAGAGTCTGACTCCAGATTTGCGTAATTGATTTTCTGCTGGGTTATTTCTTTTTTACCATAACCAGATGTCTTAGAAAGTGAAAGGAAACGGTTAGATACGCGATTCTTTTGGTTATCGCCATAACTCTGCAATTCGAAATTCTATTCGATCTCGAGTTCATTTTGTCTTAGTTTGTAAATGTTCGACATCGGTTTTGTAAACAAAGCTCCGAGAAAACAACTTCTCAGGTGAGTTGTAAACGAAATTAATGAAGCCAGGAAGCAAAGACAATGTGTTATAGTGTCAAAAGAATCACAGTAACATCATGGAATAAGAAATCAGCAGAAATCTGCTGGTCTTTAAAAACACTTTGATTCACATTTCCAACCTGACCACAATAAACTAATGATACCCGCAGGCAGAAAATATACCTATATATATATATATATATATATATATATATATATATATATATATATACAAGTATATAATTGGTGTATACGGAATGAATTCCAATAACCAACAATTACTATTCTTAAAATAGTGGATAATACAAAGTAGAGCAGATATAATTATTTTTTTTAATTTATAACATAAATATTTTATAAAATCACTACAAAAATAGCCATTTTGTTTCAACACCCTCGGTGTCTTATCAAGTGATAATGTTGAATGTAGAATAAATGGTTTTAAAAGCAGCGCTGATCAATCCAAGGCATTTGATAGGGTTTACCATTGCTATCTTCACTTACATATTTACATATATATATATATATATATATATATATATATATATATATATATATATATATATATATATATATATATATATATATATATATATATATATATATATATATATATATATATATATATATATATATATATATATATATATATATATGCGGCAGTGCAGTGTTTAGCAAGCTTGTCTCGCTAGAACAATTACGACTGAGTAGAGAGTTCGATTCTCATTGGGTGCTCATTACTTCCACATCTAAGTTACGCTTGGAAAATCCCGAGGTGCCACTCGAGCCTGCGTAATGGTTAACAAGTTTGTCTCGCTAGAACAGTTACGACTGAGTATTGAGATGACCACTAGGTCACACTTAATTTTGACCTTGTGCCACATCTAAGCTATACTTGAAAAATCACTAATTGCTACATCTAAGGTATGCTTGGAAAATCGCTATATATACTAATCATTTCAAAGTCCATCTCTAAATGTAAGCATTAATGATCCTACTAAGAAATATAATTTTCGTCTACTATACGGAAGCACGGTGCAGTAATGGACAACGAGTCGGACTGAGGAATCGTAGAGCCGAGTTCGAATTCCAGTCGGATCCATTACATTCACTTACATGCTAATGCTCCTGGGAAAGGTATGGATTATCGTGAGTTATGTATCGAAAGATACATGATCGCCTAACCGTAACACATAACGGACTGATCACTATACTATAATTATATTGATATGTCAAGTATGTAATTTGATCAGGAAGTGTAATTTAAATGTAAGCCAACTATGGCCTCTTTGCGAAATCTCTAAAAAGAAAATTTTGCTTTGCTTCGACCAATAAAAAAGATAATCTGAACAATTCAAAACATTTTCTTCAAGTAAATGGCATCTTACTTTTTGCTTGAGTTATTCTAAATAAGTAACAAGTGCCATACGCGATACACGCTTGGGCTATCAAGTCTCTTTGATGCATGACTGATTAGGCAGATTTTCCGTTGTATGTTGTCATTTTCTTTTTGAGATAATTGGCTTGCACTCAAGAATATAAGAACTAGTTCATCCTGATATTTAACCCAAAGCTGGGGCTGGAAAAGAGACGGATTTATAACTTTCCCAAGAATATTTATTCTTAAGTGAATGTAATGAAACCGACTGGGATTCGAACTCGGTTCTCCGATTTCCCAGCCCAAACTGATATTCGTTACACTACACCACAGTCACCATCCAAAAAAGTAAAATGTAAAAATTGGTTAGTCTGTAAAACGTCAAAACTCTCCCTAAACTTTAACAGTCCAATTCTAATCTTTAGGTCTAAATTTACATATGAAATTCCCTATGTAAAACGATGAACCTATGTTATTGTCATTCGGAAATATATTTCACGTATTGAAACGCTGGTTCTCGTACAGTCACCGAAGTTAAGCAACGTCCTGGGTAAGATGATAATCTACATCCGCGTCCTGGGTAAGACGATAAACTACGTCCAGCAGCAAGTCCTCTGATCAGCAGGATATGTGGAATGTGGCACCACCTCTTAATTGCTGGTGTTCCCAGGGCCACCCTGATACGGGTGGTAGCACCTGGTAGGGTCTCAGCAATGGGCAAATAGTTAACTATTACCAGCAATACTTTTTTGGAAAAAATATTACCACCAATACAATTTTGAAGGTAAAATGTTACCAGAAAGCGAATTTTGACAAAACAAAATATTACCAGCAATAAATAAATTTTGTCGGCTTGAAATAACTCATTGGGGTTGATATGCCGTAAAAAAAAATAAACCAAACCAATCAAAACCAAAGAATACGTACTCTATTCATAAGAATGTAACCTAAACATGTTGTCGGCATTAAATATTTCATTGAGGTTGATATGCCGTAAAACAAACTAAACCAAACCATTCAAAATCAAAGAATACATACTCTATTCATACGAATGTATCCTAATCATGTTGTCGGCGTTAAATAACCCATTGAGGTTGATATGTCGTAAAACAAACTAAACCAAACCATTCAAAACTAAAGAATACATATTCTATTCATACGAATGTATCCTAAACATGTTGTCGACATTAAATAACACATTGAAGTTGATATATCGTAAATCAAACAAAACCAAACCAATCAAAACCAAAGAATGCATACTCTATTCATACGAATGTATCCTAAACATGTTGTCGGCATTAAATATCTCATTGAGGTTGATATGCCGTAAAACAAACTAAACCAAACCATTCAAAACCAAAGAATACATACTCTATTCATACGAAAGTATCCTAAACATGTTGTCGGCATTAAATAACCCATTGAGGTTGATATGTCGTAAAACAAAATAAACCAAACCATTCAAAACTAAACAATACATATTCTATTCATAAGAATGTATCCTAAACATGTTGTCGGCATTAAATAATCTATTGAGGTTGATATTCCGTAAAACGAACTAAACCCAACAAATCAAAACCAAAGAATACATACTTTATTCATACGAATGTATTGTAAACATGTTGTCGGCATTAAATAACCCATTGAGTTTGATATGTCGTAAAACAAACTAAACCAAACCATTCAAAACTAAAGAATACATATTCTATTCATAAGAATGTATCCTAAACATGTTGTCGGCATTCAACAGCCCTTTGAGGTTGATATATCGTAAAACAAA